TGCTAATTAACACTAAACTATTCAATGTAACTCAATCGTTTCAAGTACAAAAATATATAGAATAGATATTTTTCATAACCCAATATGAAATCGAAGGCTTTGAATTTTTCTAGCGTCTTCCATTAGACTGATAAAACATTGAAATGTAACTATTTACGTCTTGAAAATTTAATGGTAAATTTTGCTCCCCTACTCATAAAATGGGAGCACAAACTTGTGAATCAACGTGTGACCGTATAACACTTACAAAAATTAGTTATTTCAACTGAATCTAACTAAATAAACCAAAGTTAAACTATTCATAAATATCTAGAACATTTGAAGTGATTTTCCGATGTGAGAAGTGATTTTTATCAAAAAATATTTTCAGAAAGGAGTTTTTTGGATATTTTGGTAATTTTATAATTGAATTCATGAATCAATTGAAGCTAGACTACTATGGAAAACGTGGAAGCACTGGACGGTTGTTTCATCCGTGTATAGGACTCGTCAGCAGTGCGTATCAACGATCCCTCCTCGCGAGATTTGAACCCAGGACCTATCAGTCTCGCGCATAAACACTTGAGTTGTAGACCACTAAGCCGGTATCCAACCAATGCTTCCAGGTTTTCCGAAATGGTTTAGCTTGACTCATGAATTCAACTATTAAATTACTATAATATCCACAAAATTCTTTTCTAATTATAAGTAAAATAAACTCAAGTTAATCCAGTAAGTTAGTATACTAAATTAAACTTCTATTACTAGTTTATACTTAACAATTACTTTTACCCAAAAAAATGTTAATTAGCTAGTTAGTTTATTTGACAAAATTAATAAATTATGATATGCCTAGTTAATTAATTTTTGTTTTGTAATTGTTCTTGTTAATGTTAAATGTATTTTGGTTTGTTTGTTGTTGTTGTCGTCGTCGTTTTTTACTCCCTGGTTTATTATTCTACTATCTTTTTTTGTCTTTTTTACTCATTCATTCTATTATTGTCTAGCATAATGAGATGTATTCAAGGTGAAAGGTCGCAGATACAATTAAATAATCTTACAGGCTAAGCAATTAATAAATCTACATGAAGTCTTTATTGTTAAGTAACGTGTAAATAAATAAAAAAACAACGTTGCGATAAAATAATAAAAAAACGATAAAAAGAAGAAAAAAAGACTGGTTAAAATTGGGTGAGTCATATTGTTCTACATTATTCTATTCATAAATAAATGGAATTCATAATTTAGGTGATATGATGAATTAAAAGAACAAAATTAGATGAATTTAAATAGTGTATATTAGTGAAGATTAGTTTGCCTAAATGATGAAATATGACACATAAATATTACAACAAATAAAGATGAAAGACAAAGAATCATTTTTTTAAATGTATAAACTATATTGTATAGATATTAAATAATAAGGAATATGGTGAGATGAGAAGTGCTGATTTTGAGCTTTTTCCGAATTTGATCAATTCCCGATATATGTGTTATATCATGACAAGAATTATGAATGGTAACTCTTCAGAACTATCTATGAATCAATACGATACATATATAGTTACTAAGTAACTAAATTATACATATTCACATTCTTATTATTATAAGCTCTATTTTAGCTCATAGACTATTATTATACGATTTAGCATTCTTGCCCAGGACAGGGTTGGATGAAGAATGCTGGTGAGCGGCCTATGCTCCTTCACGAGGAGTAACAGGCGTAAGTAAGCAAGTAAGTTACCATTCTTGAGTTATGTTCAGTCTATCAGTTACTATCTTTCATATTCACAGCTACGTTTGGTTAGATCTTGTACAAATTTTTTTATATTTTATGGCACGATGTGGTCTGTTTGGTTTGTATATCAATTCAGTATGTTTGAAATACGTAATTTATATCTCAGAGTCTGAGATTGATGTTCTGGACTGGAGGACCGATAAAGACTCTAGACCATTCGTATGCGTTGTTAGTCCGGTCGATAAATCGCTGTTTTCTAATTGACGGTATCATTACGTAGTATATTATTAGGGCGCAAAGCCAATAAAGTATAACAATAAGTACTATCACTTTCTAGATGTTACCGTTAAGCAATCATAAAATCGAGAAACATAAATAAAATTAAACATTCTGGACGGTCTATGAGATATAACTTAAAGTTCACATCATAATATGTTTTACCACTGACCAATAAATTTGAAGTCTTAGTTTCAGTAAATCTTCTCAAACTTATATATATACAATGAAACCATTAAGTGATAACAGTTACATCTTACCTTAACTGTTGTCTTGTATTAATAAAAGAATGACGTGGAAATACCATACCTGGACTAGAATTAATTAGTAATGGTGCAGGATTTAATAAATACATATCATCTAACCACCATTCTGTAACCTATTATATACAAATATTTAAATATAATGAGTAATTAGTATAAAATAAAACAAATGTAAATTCACTTTAAATAATTTAAAAATATACGCTACATTTTCTATGAAAGAACAAGAAGGAGATAACACAATGTTATATTGAATAGGAAAAATAACTAAATTTTGTTTTATTTCCCATTTTTTCTTTCTATTATAAATGAATAAGAAATTAAATGTTTATTATCTATGAGAGAGAGAAAAAAAATGTATATCAGAATGTAGATAATTGCGTATGGGAATAGTTACAGGTGCATTTAACATTGATCATCCACACCCACATCATCATGATTGTTGATGATGATGAGAGATTTTTCATTCCTCTCAAATAGATAACAAACGAGAAGAATGATAGATACAATAAGTAACTAATAGAAATCAACTATAGAAAGAAATAGGCAGGTAGTTTGATGAAATGAGTTATGTTATTTCTCTTTCTCTTTCTTTCTCTTTCCTTTTTCATGAAAATACAAAATCTAGAAAATGATGGTTTATCTCAAGGAGGAAAAAGCGTCCATTATAGAAGTATAATATAATTAAAAAATGTGAATAAATAGCGTAGTGTTGATCCATCAGTGCACTACAATGATAAGCATATCAGATGCTTTATGTAACAGAATAAATTGATGTGTTGTATTACTTCTTTCCTCAGCCATAAATTCTTACATTTAATCTGATGACAAAATTATATGTTTTGAATGTGTCATTTTCTTCACATCAATTGTCCAACTTAAATCGGTTCATGATCTCAATAGAAATTCAACGATTCTCACAATCCCCATGCTGATAAGTATCATGTTATCATTAGTGACTAGTTTTAGGAGGAACTTTCCAGAGTTTTGGTAAAAAGCACTGACCACTACAACTAAACTGTGTCAAATATAGATAATGTACTCCACGAAGACAATAGAAGATTACTACTCAATATCGTGGATTTATCATCGTATCTCAGTTGAGTAGTTTAGAAGTTGAAGGTTTACGTGCAAGACTCCATGTCTTGAGTTTGAACCTCAGTGGTGCAGTTTTCAATATTCATTGTTGAGAAGTCTCATACTAGGACAGAACAGATGTTCGGAGTTTTTAGATTTTCAATGGTTATCTAAATTAGATCACTCCGTGATATCGGTAAAAATTCAAATCTACACCACCCTCATACTTATAATCCTATATAGTTTTGCGTATAAAAAAGGTGTAATTGAATAATTAGTACAGAAAGCGTTTAGAAATAATATTGTGTTATAAGAAAGGTAACCAACCCGAACATTTTGTTCATTAGTTTCGTCTTCTTGCAATGTGATCCAGTTTTAAGTCTTGGTCTAGCTGTTGTCATTAATTTTATAATACATTAATCTGGTATCATGACGAGATTAAATCGATCTTTCATCACTAAAATCAGTTTAAGGGATGCTGTACTTGAGGTCGATTTTCAGATTTTTGTATTTATTGAGTGGATGTGTTTAAGATCTCAACAAAGCCTTAACAATTAAAATTTGAATTTGTTAATGGGACTATAATAGATCTGTACAAGAGCCTTATGATGGATGCTTTTACGAGTAGACAATTATTATCGCTATTATTATTATTATTATTATTATTATTATTATTATTATTATTATTATTATTATTATTATTATTATTATTATAAGAACTAGGACAAAATTTTCATTTTCGTGGCTTAAAACACGAACCAACTTTAGATAGTCAAGAATTGAAAAACCGGAAGCGTTGGACTTCCGTTTATTTCTGTTGTGGGACTCTTTAGAAGTGCACACTAATGACATATCAACCGGAGAACAAGCTCAGGACAATCAGTCTCATGAGTGAGTGCTCGGCCTTTAAACATTTGAGTCAACATCTTACTCCGTTAATGTCTAAATTCAATCAATCCATGATATTGGGTAACCCTCATCTAAGATGGATAGCTCACGCGTACCCGACATGGTTGAACTCTACTGGTCACGCCTCCTCATCTGGAATTCTATTTTGTATCAAACATTTTTTATATACAATTTTGGCTTATTGATTAAAGCTCATAACCTTGAGCCATATAATATTTCTAACCCTTTATAAAGGACGTTTTAGATTTACTGATGATTTTTTTCAGTATGGGGTTGTGCAGGTTGTTGAATTTCATCGAAATTAGTAACCAATTAATGTTAGACCACCCTTGAAAACCTGGAAGCACTAAGTGGCCGGTTCGTTCTAGTATGGGGATCCTCAACAGTGCTCATCCACGATCCCGTACACGAGATTCGAACCCAGGACCTTTGACCTCTCGCGAATGCTTAGCCTTAGTACTTTGTTACATGTAGGACTCAGTTGGCATGAAATTTTCCATTTTTAATCTTTAACATGAGTTAACTCAACACTGATATTTTGTCTGTTGTAATACAACAATGATTTTGAGTTTACAACTGTAGAGCCTAATGAAAAAGTTATCAAAAACAATTGTCTAGAAATAAAGGAATGTGAAAATAAATAGCCATTTGCTACTAAATATTTATAAATTCTTTCTTAGTACTATCTGTGACCTAATAATATTAAGTTTTAAATTTAAACAGAACATAGAATACAAGAGGTATTTTGTTTAACACACCCAACTGATCTTTGTCTTTGCATATTGTTTAAGTAAATTTTGTAGTTCTTCTCCTTCTCCACCAGATTTGCCGAATTCTTCAACTAATAATTTAGTTCGTTCAAAATCTTCTTTTGAAACAACTGGTGCTATTAATCGTAAATATCTATCTAGTGTATTATGTAAATCTGGAACCGGTAATCTAGGAAGTGGTTTCTGTATATGTGTTCGGAAGAAATGGAAAAGAATATCAAAATATTATGACTAGAATATTAAAAATAAAATAACATATCGAAGAATCATTAGCAAACGATTGTAAATTTAAAATGAAACGGAATACAGTGTGGTTAGGTAATCCTATAAGAATGTAATGAAGTTGTTATGGTGGATTTATTCGTGAATTGGTATCATCAAAAGTAACTTCAAGAATCAAAGAACCTTCACTAATAATGCACAACGATTTAATCACACCAGGGTTACTGCCGGTATTAAACTGAGATAAAGGAGGGGTTTGGGCATGCGGTTAACAACGTTGCCGAAAAAACGTTAAGTAGAGTAAAAAATTAAACCATTTAAACTCTGCCCTCCAAGTTGTAGAATCTGCATACACAAAAATAATGACGAATCGTGATGAAAGCCGAGATTCTTCGGAAGTCACGAGGTCTATGCTCCTTCTAACAATCAGAACAGCAGTTGATGTGGGTACATGGAATATCGGGACAATGTAGGACAACAGAAGAATCTATTAAATAGCTGCTGAAATGGGAAGATGACCATCATACAGATTGAGAGATGGAAGGCATCAGGACCTGACAACATACCGGATAAAGCACTGAAGTCAGACATAGAAGTAACTGCGAATGTGCTCCACGTTTTATTTAGGAAAATTTGGGAGAACAAGTGTCACCGACAGACTGAAAAGAAGGACGCCTTTTAAAGATACCAATGAGAGATCTAAGGAAATGTGAGAACTAACTGCGGAGGCATCACCCTACTATCGAAACCAGGAAAGATTTTCAACAGTGTTGTTGAACTGGACTAGAGATTCAGTAGATACCCAAACTAGAGATCAACAGACCGAACTCCATGAGGATCTTTCGTGCACAGACCAAATTGCGACACTAAGCATCATTGTTGAGCAATCAAATGAATGGAATTTTTCACCATACATTAACTTCCTTGACTGTGAGAAAGTGTTTAGTAGTGTAGATAGGAGAACCTTATGGAAACGTCTTTGACACTACGGTGCACCTGAGAAGATCCCCAACATCATGCAGAGTTCACACGACGGACCACACTGCAAAGTTGGGCAGTCTTCGTCAACAACATGGAGAACATTAACGCAATTACACTTGATAAGGAAGCACTGGAGAAGGTGAAAACTTTCGTGTACATGGACAGCATTGTTGACAAGTAAGAAGGATCGGATGCAGACATGACGGCATGAATCGGCAAATCAAGGATGGCATTCAGCAATTGAAGAATATATGGAACTAGAAACGATCGTCAGCCAATATAAAAGTCAGAATCTTCATTACGAACGTCAAGACAGTTCTAATGTACGTAACTGAAACGTGAAGAACTACTATTACTGTAAAGGACGTTACTCACATGATTGTTTGTAAGCAGCGTAAAGAGCAATGTATTTACGAGCGATTGTCTGTGAAAGATACTCAATGTCTATTCTTGGCCAGATAACATCAGCAACAACTGCTGTGCGAGAATACAGACTTCCAGTTGAAGAGGAAAGTACAAACAGACGATGGGGATGAATAGAACATATAGTGCGGAAGTCATCAGAATTCGTCAAGAGGCAGGCCCTAACTTGGACTCAACAAGAGAAAAGGAAATGAGGCAGACCGAGGAACACATTGGGTTAGGAATTGGAGGCAGTCATTAAAAGAATAAACAACAATTGGTTGGTTGTAGCATGCTCTACGAGGGGTAGCAAGCGTAATTCGGTAACTTACAACTTACAACTTACGCCTGTTACTCCTCGTGAAGGACCATAGGCCGCTCACCAGCATTCTCCATCCAACCCTATCCTGGGCAATCCTTTCTAGCTCCGTCCAGTTGTAATTCATCGTTTTCATATCTGCTTCTATTATCCGACGCAATGTGTTCTTTGGCCTTCCTCTTTTTCGCTTCCCTTCAGGATTCGAAGTTAGGGCTTGCCTCGTGATGCAGTTTGACGATTTGCGTAATGTATGTCCTATTCATTTCCATCGTCTTTTCCTAATTTCTTCTTCAGCTGGAAGTTGGTTTGTTCTCTCCCACAGAAGGCTATTGCTGATGGTATCCGGCCAATGGATGTTGAGTATCTTGCGTTATTTATTTATTTATTTCAACACATAGATAATGGTACAAAGAGGCACCAAATACATATGCGCCACACAAATCTCATTCGATATGTGTGAGGGCTGTGATACTGCCGGGGTGCCCAAACCGAAGCAGGTGGTTATCTTAGGGGGCCACACCCCGAGCCTTCGACCTGAAGGTCTGATCCACAAGGCAGTGGAGCATCGTAAGGAGATGCAGTCCCATGGTAGCCGGTGACCAACAATTGGTTCATTCGCCATTTGTTTACGCAGGGTACTGGAGCCCATGAGCACCATTGGTTTGGAATCCGGTTAAAGCGCCGAACATTCGCTTTTCGTCCTCTCATTTTCGTAAACAACACCCCCGCCACCAGAAGGCAGTGAGTAGGACTTCCCTGGCAGAGGCTATATACGCGTGGCCGTGTGAGAGTATTTCGAGAGGGAGAGCGGACTCTCCCCACTCTCGGCCGTACCAGGGCATTCGTAGACAACTATTTATAAATACTTGTACCTTCTTGATGGTGGTTGTTGTATTTCTCCAAGTTTCAGCTCCATACATTAGAACTGCTTTGACGTTGGTATTGAAGATTCTCACTTTGATATTGGTTGAAAGTTGTTTTGAGTTCCATATGTTCTTTAACTGTAGGAATGCTGTCCTTGCTTTGCCAATCCTTGCCTTTACGTCTGCATCTGAACCTCCTTGTTCATCGATGATGCTTTCCAGGTATGTGAAGGATTCTACATCTTCCAGAGTTTCACCATCAAGAGTGATTGGATTGTTGTTTTCCTCTTTGAATTTGAGGACTTTGGTTTTCCCTTTGTGTATACTGAGGCCTACTGATGCAGAGACTGCTTCTACACTGGCTGTCTTCATCTGCATCTGTTCGTGTGTATGCGATAAGAGGGCTAGGTCATCTGCGAAGTCCAAATCGTCTAATTGATTTCGAGCTGTCCATTGTATTCCGTGTTTTCCTTCAGATGTCGAGGTCTTCATAATCCAGTCGACCACCAGAAGAAAGAGGAAGGGAGAGAGTAAACAGCCTTGTCTGACTCCGGTCCTTACTTGGAATGCATCTGTCAGCTGTCCTCCATGCACGACTTTACACTGTAGTCCGTCGTATGAGTTCCGGATAATGTTGACAATCTTCTCAGGAACTCCGTAGTGTCGAAGAAGTTTCCATAATGTCCTCCTATCTACACTGTCGAATGCTTTTTCATAATCAATGAAGTTGAAGTATAGTGATGAGTTCCACTCAACTGATTGTTCGACGATGATCCGTAGTGTTGCAATTTGGTCTGTGCGTGATCGATCCTTACGGAATCCAGCTTGTTGATCTCGAAGTTGGGCGTCTACTGCATCTTTCATCCGGTTCAGCAACACTCTGTTGAAGACCTTCCTTGGTATTGACAGCAGTGTAATGCCTCTATAGTTTTCACATTTGCTCAGATCTCCTTTCTTTGGAATCTTGACGAGGTGCCCTTCTTTCCAGTCCATCGGCACTTGTTCCTCCTCCCAAATCTTTTTGAATAGAAGGTAAAGCATGTTTGTAGTTGCTACGATGTCTGACTTCAGTGCTTCAGCTGATATGTTGTCCGGACCCGCTGCTTTCCCGTTCTTGATTTGTCTGACGGCCATTCTGATTTCTTCCTTCGTTGGTGGGTCGACGTCTATGGGAAGATCTGTGTGTGCCGCTTCGATGTCCGGTGGATTCATTGGAGCCGGCCTATTCAGGAGTTCCTCGAAGTATTCTACCCATCTGTTCCGCTGTTGTTGAATTTGGGTGATTGGCTTGCATTCCTTGTCTTTGACCGGTCTCTCTGGTTTACTGTATTTCCCTGCTAGTTTCTTCGCTGTATCGTAAAGCTGTTTCATATTTCCTTCTCTAGCAGCTTTTTCTGCTGTCGTTGCTAGTTCTTCCACGTACTTCTTCTTGTCGGCTCTAATACTCCTCTTCACTTGTTTGTTTGCTTCTATGTATTCAGCTTGTGCTTGGACTTTCTCTGCTCGTGTTCGGCTGTTGTTTATTGCTGCCTTCTTGTTCTTCCTCTCTTTGATCTTGTCCAGTGTTTCTGTAGAGATCCACTCCTTATGATGGTATTTCTTTAGACCCAGAACCTCATGACACGTTAAAGTTAATGCTTCCTTGATGCCTTTCAAGTTGTCTTCCATACTAGTTTCTTCTTCCTTCCGTAGATCTTGTAAGGCTTGGAACCTGTTGTTGAGAGCAATCTTGAATTCATTGAGTTTGTCAGTATCTCGAAGGAAGGCTGTATTGAACCTTTGTGGTGCTGTTTGTCCACTTGTCCAGTTCTTTTTTTGCTTCAGTTTTAAATTAGCCACAGCTAGGTGGTGATCTGAAGCTACGTCAGCGCCTCTCCTGGTTCTCACATCTTCCATTGTCCTTCGGAATTTTTTGTTGATGCAAATATGATCTATTTGGTTCTCTGTAGTGTGGTCCGGTGAGATCCATGTAGCCTTGTGTATACGCTTGTGTGGAAATATTGTGCCTCCTATGACCAATTTGTTGAATGCACATAGATTTGCAAATCTTTCTCCATTTTCGTTTCTTTCTCCCAGTCCATGTCGTCCCATAATATTTTCATATCCAGTGTTGTCTATTCCGACTTTGGCATTTAGATCTCCCATCAGAATAGTTAGGTCCTTTCTTGGGCATTTCTCAATGACTGACTGCAGCCGCTCGTAGAACTGATCTTTAATGTCGTCGTTGCTATCATTTGTGGGTGCATAACATTGGATAATATTCATTAAAATCCCCTCCCTCTTTGTCTTGAATGATGCTTTGATGATTCTGGATCCGTGAGATTCCCATCCTACAAGTGCATTTCGTGCTACTTTGGACAGCATAAGAGCGACTCCCTGAGTGTGTGGAGCATTGT